GAAAGACAATCAACACATAGAAAGTTTTTGCCTGAGTCTTACTTAACTTTGCTTTCTCTTTCCACCCAGGGATGTTGGTTGTTCCCGATGTGTGGCTCTCGTTCTTGACAAAGCAACTCCCTCAAGATCAGAAAGATCAATCAAACTTAGTTATCTATGGATGTCTTGCTGTTGTATCCCTCATGTTTATATTGACAAGAACATATGTATTACTCTCCTGCTTCTTGCGATGCTCTGAGCGTCTTCATGACAAGATGGTCGTTGGCACTTTACAAGCTCCTGTTTTATTCTTTGATTTGAATTCCGTGGGAAGAATCCTTAATCGATTTTCCAAAGATATCGGCTGGTTGGACGAGCAGTTACCAAGGAAATTTCAACTAGCGATCGACTCAACCTTAAATGTGCTTGCATCACTAATTGTCCCAGCTGTTATGAATCCTTGGCTTATTTTCATACTTATACCGTTGATTTCGGTTGCAATATACCTGTCCACGTATTATTTGAAGACATCCAGGGAACTTAAGAGGTTAGCGTCCATAAGTCGTAGTCCAGTATTCTCTCACATTTCGGAGACCCTTGATGGACTAGAGACGATTCGGACCAGAGAGCGACAAAGTGATTTTGTGTATCAGTTTTACAGGTGGGTTTGCCTCGTCTTAATTAATTTTATACAACTTGCATCTTGGCTTAGTACAATGGATTCTCAGACATGAACTACTTGATTTATAGAGATAAAAGAAAGACGTCATATCGTCATTTCCATAAATAGTTACTGCAAGGTAATAGTGTTCCCCTCAGAACAAAACGGGCACCCGACATCCTCGGCTCGATTTCCGCCGATCTCTCGTGTCCGGTCTTCGCTCCTCCCAGAGAAGAGACGAGAAGCTGGTAAAGAGCCTACCGTCATCTCAGATAGACGTTGTTTCTGCTACCCTATATGTTCAAATGATCAGAAAGCAATGAATAACCCACTAATTTTGTCCTGTTCACTTGCTTTCTTAAAGACATCATGATGTTCTGAATCAAGCAAACATCTTGGTAATGGCCGGTGGGAAATGGATCAGTGTGCGATTTGAAATTCTTGCATCCTTATTTGTTGGTGCAGTGGCTTTCTCAGCTGTTATTATGTCTCAAGATGCCGGTGAGTTTGTATTACAAAAAGAAGCCAGTCCCTAATTCGATGAGTGACCGAAGGCGCAAGAAAACCCAAATACTTACAGAGTCTTATCAGATTAAAGGTGATCAGTGGAAGGTGTAGTATATTACATTCGCTCAGAAATGAGAGAAGTCAAGGATTACTATTGTGCGTAATTTTAAGTACTAGTGGTCAATCGAGTCGTTAAGTGGAGTAAATACTTTGTTACATCCATTTTTGAAATCACTGGTGATCCTTGCAATCTGATTGACTCTTATCGGTGCAATTTCCTCGCACCCATTTTTTGCTCTAATCGCATCTTTTTCCCAACAAACAGGCCTCCCTCATGCCAACTTTATGCAGTTGTCCACATAAATGAATCTTCTCAGGAAAACCCCCTGTATTGCCTTGTTTAACTTTCCATGGCAAGGGCGTGGCAAGGCTATTTTTTGACTATTTAGTGTGGAAAATCAGTTAAAATCTTCTTTGGTTAATCTTTAGTTTCAATTTTTGGTCTAATTAGCTTTTGCTGGACTTACCTTGGCTTACGTTGTTCAAAGACTTGCGCGGTCTCATTACGCCATCCGAACAACCTCAGAGGTCGAGAATCTAATGACGTCAGTTGAACGAGTTATTACATATACCAAGCTTGAATGTGAGCCAGGATACATGATCGAACGACGACCCCCGGAAAACTGGCCAAATGAAGGAAATATCATATTCAAAGAAGTATCCTTGAGATATTATCCGGGAGGACCACAAGTGTTGAAGAATATCAAACTCAATATCAAAGGAGGAACAAAGATCGGTGTCGCTGGCCGTACTGGTGCTGGAAAGTCATCTTTTGTGGCAGCTCTAATGCGCATGCCTGAATCGTGTGATGAAATAGTCATTGATGGAATTCCAGTGAAGGAAATCAACCTCCAGGAAACTCGACGATGTATATCCGTCCTTGGCCAAAGTCCAGTACTGTTTAATGGATCACTGAGGAAAAATCTCGATCTTGTTGAGCAGTTTACAGATGCAGATTTATGGCAAGTTCTACAAGATGTGCAACTGAAAGAATCAGTGAAAAGTCTTCACGGGCAACTTGATCATGAACTGTTGGAAAATGGTGCAAATATCAGTGTTGGAGAACGACAGTTGATTTGTTTGGCTCGTGTGCTGTTGCAACGAAACAAGATCATCGTCTTGGATGAGCCCACTGCAAATGTAGATCCAGAAACAGAAAAAACAATCTTGGGCGTAGTGCGTGAAAAACTGAGAGACTCTACGGTCATCACTATAGCTCATCGATTGAACACCATCAAAGACTGTGATAAAATTTTACTTTTGAAACGTGGAACGGTAGCAGAGTTCGACAAATTTGACACTTTGGTGAACACAGAAGAAAGTGAGTTGCGTGAAATGGCGCGAATTGCAAGTTTTAAAACAACGTAATTTCAAATAGCCTGTTAAATATTTCTCAGCCACTTTCTGTAATTCCTTTATTACCTATCTTATGTAAGCACGTTTTGTTCACAATATACTGAACTTTACCAGGTGGTTTTTATATTTTAATTATTTGTGGCTCGTGCTACTTTACCATAAAGAAGTGTTCCTCACTGTTTGTCACGTTGATTCGTATCAGAAAGATCACTGTTTCAGTATACTTGCCGACCAGTATCAAGAGAGCTGTAGTAGCAGCTGGAATATTCCTTTAGAACTTTTTTTTATCCTCATTGAAGTATTTTCTGTATCGTAATTTAGGGGCATAATAATAATGTAGGGCTTTCTGTAGTTTACGATAACGATCTCGACCTCGAATTTCCTCAGAATAAACTACTTTGAGGATCAATCACAGTTGACTGAATCTCATTTTTGAAAGCAGATTCGGCCAAAAAGTAAGTTCTTGGGAATACTGGAGCCTGTGTTGCGCAGGTTTACAGGATTCGCTGCTACTTGTCTCCAGGGACGACATGCTAGGGATAGAGAAATGATATAAATATAATGCAATCACGAAATGGCAAAGATGATGTTCGTTGTACTTGTTAGTGAGCCATGTGAAGGAATGCAAAAAATACAGCAAGCAATTTTATAGATGTTTTTCATATAAGGTGGTGAACGCTTCATTGGGTAGGAATAATCCAAGAACACGGAACATTTCACAAGCATAAGTTAAACGTTAGAATCCAGCCCTTATTTCTACTCTTCTACCGGCTGAAGCGAGTGTAAGAGGGCATAGTACTGTGATGTTAACCAAATCCATATTCTAAACGCACGAAATCTTTAACAAGTCAAGAGGTGAACTATGGTGTCGTAAGACCACCATAACAAAAAACCCAATGTCTCAACAATTTTCTTGTATATCCATATTTTATTTTTATATTATTTTTTTGTTTTCTTTTTTATGTTTTTATGCCTTTTTGTTTTTGTTAAAAGCAATCTAAAATGGAATTAAAAAAGGTCAAAGCAAAATTGTTCATGTCCTATCGTTGCCATAGGGGAAAAAATAGCTAAAACGAAAGAAAATTGGTAATGGCCTAACATTGCCATAGCGAAAAAAATAATCTTCTTGGCTTAGCTTTGCCACAGACCAGAGAGCCTTTCGGGTAAAATCGTGCTCCTATTTAAAATGGCGACTGCTCATATTGGAAACAACGATTAGCAAACGAGGAGAAGACAAGGAGTTAAATGACGCGTTAGGTGGTTATGTGAAGCAAATCCTTCGTCGAATTGAACTTTTAGACTTTGTTTCAAGGGATTTTAGTGAATATGCGTGGAGTTTAAGGACGCCAGACAGAAGACTGGAGTACTCTGGAATCAAATACACAGACCAAACCGTTCAGGTCGACGAGGTTGAAGAGGAATTAAAGAAAGAATTGGAAGGGCCGGGAAAATTTCTTGGCTACCGAGCGTTGCACAAAAAACTTAGACAGGTCCATGAGCTTAACGTTCCGTGGGATCTTGTATATGCCGTAATGTACAATGTAGATCCAGATGCTCTCGCCGAAAGGGCTCCCCAATTTAAGAAGAAGGCCAAAGACAATTTCACATCACGCGGCCAAGCCAAGGTAACATAGGTGAGTTTCACTGTTTATATCATCACTAGCATGCAATGCCTGCAGTATTGTTGCAGATATATGCAGGCGCATGTTTTCATGCCGTGTGATTTGTGTAAGTCGGCCATCTTGTTGCCGAGTTAGGGTAAAACCACTGTCTTTTTTGGGGGACTTCTTTTGCCATGGTTACTGAAACGTAGATTACTTCATACCATAAATGACCAAATAAATGAGTCAACCATTTTATATTTAAGTGGGGGCGTAAGCTGCAAGCTGTTTTGGTACCAAAAATAACAACAACATAACAAGAAAAAAATTGCTCCACCCGCCAAAAAAAAAAAATTAAAATTATAACTTGCTGGAGGAAGCATGCAAAAAAAGGCCAATAATCTTGAGCGTTATGGGTCTGGAAAAGAAAGTCATGCTTAACTGAAATTTCCTCCCCCCCCCTTCCCACTCAAACGTGGAATGATCAGCCTCTGAAGCCTACTTGACTACCAATTACCATATATCAGCCTCCTGAAGCATTGCAGACGGAAAGACCATACCGGGTTTAATCATTGAAATGCAATTAATTGCAATACATTGCAGTAATAATTGCACTTGTGGCTGGCAATGAAGTTCTGTATGGCATTCTAGGACAGATTACATGTATAAAACAGCATGTTGCTGGGCCCTAGCTCCTTGCTAGCAATTTCCAGGTCAAAAAGGCAACTTTCACAGACTTGAATATCCAGCAACATCACCTCTCTCTCTCTCTGACCGTTTATATGAGAAGTTTGCCAGACACTGCCTTCTTGATCAAGGAATCAGCATTTACGCTCTCACATATGCTCCCATTGTTGTTGATATATTTGCGGAATGTCCCCTCTATAAAATCTTCTGCTGTTACATACTCTTTGCCAATCATTCCAATCAATCATGCATATCTTCTTGTAACTCATGGTTTCCCCAAAAAGAATTTCATCATCGCTTGCATGAAGCTCCTCTTTAAGCTTAGCTGCGAAATTTTGTGCAAGGCAGTGCATTTGCACTACCTTCTTTGTATGTTCTTCTAGTGTCTGTCCAATAGCAATGATGTCGACCGCAGCCTTTTCTAGATACCTCTTCACCACCCATGTTGAGCCATTGAATCCTCTGTCATTGGAAGTCGCTTTGAACGCCTTACGAAATCCACCAGTTCCAAATGGCTCGGGTTCAATAGAAAAATCCACGATTGTTGGTCTACCGGTGCGCGCCATTACCGACATGTCAAAATTAAAGATCTCAAAGGAGGTTGTGGTAGCGGTAATGAGCTTTCCCAATTTTAGCATGTCAACAACCGAAAGTCTTTGTGGGACAAACTATGGAATTTGAAATGACGCTCTTTTAGGTACTAATGTCTTTCCATGCCCGGCATTCTCACCCTGGGAAATGTCGCTGATCGTTCGCTTCCGCCGCTCACCGACCCCCGCTGAAACTTCAATCGGAGCGTCCTTGACTTTGCCCTTTATGAATCGCCTCTGGATCCTTTTTAACATTGGCAACTGTGTTACAGAGGAACAAGAGAGTCCCTGTTCCCCTGCAAGTGCATCGCGGGACATCGTTTCCGACATACCGTAGTGCTTCATGCATGCTTTCTTGATGTTTCTAACAGAGATTTCGTTGATTTCGTCGAAGTCTTCGAACGAGACTGCCTCCATTTACAACTTCATTTTCTCGGCCTCAAGGTGGCTATATTAACAAGGTGACTTTTACATAAAAGAATTGGTCCATGATTAGCATGCGTGTATCGAGTTATGGATGCACGTGGGAAGTTTAGAGAGCACGAGAGAACCTCTCGAAACGAACTCTCAAAATAAGCACTTTTCTGTGCTTTTTAGGTTCACTCACGACACGTGATTTTGATACAATTCATTTAGGCACGCGCGAAATAAGCGGTAGGGATTATCGCGACTTTTTTATCACTACCTTAAAAAAAACAATAACAACAACAACACCCATTTAGAGCGGCTGGCAAGCCATTATCAGTGTCTATTTTGGGGATACCGAAAAAATTGGCCTCCCTCGGATTTTTAACAGCTCCCTTTTTGGGGCCTTTGTTTTCTATTAGGTTTCTTTAAAAAATTCCCCTAGTCGAAGTCTGTTCTCTGGATCTAAAATCATGCGCGTTAACCAAAGCTTTATCACATATATGGAAGTGTGGAGAATCAGCAAATGGGAAACTATCCCTCGTCTTGTCATATAAAGTAAAGATGAAACCAGGCACAAATTTAAGTCGCTTTTCCTCTATCTTTTTCTGTAATCGTCACCAACTTGAGTTGCACAATTAAATTAGACATGCGCATTCAACGTCTATTCTACCACAGGGAAAATATAAATGAAATTTAGAGGAAAACGGCTCTGAATAACCGGCGGCTTAATTTTCGCGTTCTGTTCTGCAATCGAGTAAATTAACTAAATTCAGTTACAATTGGTTAAAATTTTCAAGAGACTTCTTGAAGTCAATCGCTACATCCTGACATCTTTTCCCTTCAAAACCCATCGGGCAAACGCAATGGGGACCTGTGTACATAAAGGAAAACATCTCTTAGGGCTAATGCTACAAATAACCTCATAATTCCATTGAACAAATATGGGTTCTTCGAATCGTTTAAATCAGAGATAGCTTCAAATGGTAAGGTATCTATATAAATATAAACTTAGAAAGTGATGACCATGTTATTTTCAGAGCAGCCAGCGCTGCAGAAGGTCGATATGTTATTTCGAGATTTGTTTTGTGGGAACCAAAGATGACATTCAATTATAAATGTGAGAACTTATTTCTTAAAAGGTATTTGAAAAAACACATATGGCCTTGTCTGAAAGAGAGAATAGAGATCGGGGTAACAACACGACAACAAATTCCCGTGCTTTCAATGACCTATCTTACACGCCTGACAATTGATATTGATTTGTTTCAGAATTCATTCGGTGTCCTCTATTTTGATTTACGAAACCAGAAAGAAGTCGGGCTCTACGAAACTTGAATTGAAATACACATTATCTACTACACCTAATGCAGAGTACAATATGTTTGTCTTGATCCTACATGAGGAAGAAATCAGTGTAGATGTGATGTCAGGAAAGTTTGTTCTGAGGACTGTTTTTTTTTTAAATTGAATAAACTTGATTCCTGATTGTTTTGAAATGATGTAACATATATTATCGTATTAACTACGGAGATAAGAAAGATACAGAAAGCAATGTCAACTGGTATTGGTGTGGATATCAAGATAAGCAAATCAGAGATAGTATTCACGTCATGTTGTGAAAGAGATGGCTCTCTGTTTAGCAGTCCTATGACTCTAGCTCCAGATTATTATCTAGCGTTGGCGCTAAAGTTCTTTCTGGTTTGGCAACAGTTGATAATGGAACTATCAAGTTTCAGGAAAAGGTCGAGATGAGCAGAGAATTAATTATACAAGACGCTGACCATGCTAATAACCCAGTTACAAAAAACCCCCAAGAAACTGATTTCACTGATTATCTGAATAATAAATTTACTCCGAAAAGTGTATATCACTCAGATAACAAAATGAAACATAATAACAAGTTTGCTGTGAAGTTTTTTGACTTTAGAACACAGGATTATAGAGATCATGTTATTGTGTCTAATGATGGCGATTCTGGATGAGATTCATTTCATGAAGTTTTGACCATTACCATTAAACGTATGTATGCTGGACGTTACATGATCACTTATAGTGACGGTCTGAAGACAGATAAATCAAGCGCCTTAACCTTACTTGGTGAGTCTGTTAAGTCAGATCATTATATATGGGAATATTTAATCGAAATTCAGACAAAGACAAACACATAAACTCAGAATCTGACGTTGACACTCTTCTCGATAACAAGGATTATAAATCAGATGTGTATACGAAATTAGACATTGACACTCTTTTCGATAAAGAAACCTCATAAAACAGACGTCTACATGAAATCAAATGTTAGTACTCTTAGATGACAAATGTGACAAAACAAACACAGGAGTGAAAATAAGGCCTGAAAAAAATTCAGGTCTGTACGGGATTTTAACCCATGACCTCTGCGATACCAACCGGGAGCTGGTCATTACGTTGGTTCCAAAGAAACCCGTGAAGTGATGAATAGATGACTGTGAATATATGAAAATCTTTTTAAAAAAATCTTAATGAAAATCTTAATGAAAATCTTTTTTTTTATATCTTTTTTTCAGGCTTTATTTTCACTACTGCTTAAGCAGTGTTCACTACTGCTTAAGCAGTGTTCATTACTGCGAAGATCGCTCTCATATTCACTTCTTTATCCGCATTTCACATATACGATTTTCATATATTCACAGACAAGACTGTAATTATTATAAAGGAAAAATGGCTCATAATAATACACAACAGATGGAATCTTATTACAATACATCAATAAATCACAGCATCAATGTGAAACAGTCTCATGACGTTCATTTCGTTTGTGGCTCAAACAATAGAAACAAACTCAAAATAATCAACGCTGGTTTGTATATGATAACAATTTTCAATGAATACAAATCGACTCAAAACTCGCATATACAACAGAATATAAATAAACCGTTTAACCAATTGCATTTACAATATAGGCCTTTTTATCGTCACACTCTGACTACAATCAAATGACACCATAAGAAAGAGAAAAATGAAGAGTTGGTCACTTTGATTTCAAAAGAAATTTCAAAGTTATTATGCCCTTCTACGCCTGCCTTGGCCGAAGACGAGGAATATTTGGGGAAATTTGCGTTGGAAGGAGTTTTCGCATTTTTATACTTCTACGCATGACATGGTCCACTATCAGGTAGAACGAACTTCATCTTTGTCATGTAGAGATTACAATTACAGATATATAATTCTCTATCCTCCTGGCATGTCGCCTCTGGAGATAAATAGCAGCGAATCCTGTGGACCTGTGCAACACATGCACCATGTATTCCCAAGAACTTACTTTTCGGCTACAATCTGCTTTCAAAAACGATATTCAGTAATACCACAACTATAGTTGATTAAAAGGTCGAGATCGTAATCGTAAACTGCAGAAAGATCTATATCACTCTTTTCCATTAACAACGAAACTACGATGAAGAAAATATTTCATTAAGCACGAGAAAATTACCAAGGGAAACTCTATCTACGACAGCAGCTGCCTTCATACTGATCGACATTGATACTGATACTTAATCAGCGATCCATTTGATGCAAATTTAACAGTCAAGAAGAAGTTCTTAAGATAGAATACCCGATACGAGCCACAAATAATTGAAATATAAAAACCAGCTAAAGGGTATTCCCCGTAAGAAGTAAAAGTGTGCTTATTAAAGAAAGCTAGGAAAGGAATAACAGATAAAAACTGAAAAATAGTTGACCGGCAATTTGAGGTTACGTTGTTTTGGAACTTGCAAAAGATAAAGATTCTAGAATCCCTTGTTAACTTTTTATTTTACCGTCTTCAGCCGCTTTTTGCGCATTTATTGTTGACATTGTCTTTAAATGACGAACTCTATTAGTCTGCTCCACGCAACTTTTTTTTCTTACGCGGGTCAAAAAACGGGCAAACACGAGCGGCACTCAATGGACCATTTAGTACACAGGATTCATTTCAATATGCCGACGGACGCTGTCGGATATATATATATCTATATATATATTTTAAAGTTCGAATATAACTCGTGCTGTCATTGGTTAAAAGAGCGTGCTCTATGAGAGTATGGAACATAGAACTGAGCTAAAGCTGTCACGCCATCTGCCAAATTGTACTATGTCCGACCTTTTCCGGGACTTCTTTTTAGCTTTTCTTTCGTCAATTGAAAGTGAAATTTCGGAACAAGCGAGAGAAGGTTTGCAAAAATGCCAGGCGCAGTAATTTACGTTACTGTAACGTGAGCAGAGACAAAAATCCTCAAAGATAAAACAAAATGGACAGTCCGAGTTTTAAAGTTTTTGACGCTCAGTTAGATTGCAAGTTTACGTACGGTGATAAAAATCAAATACAGCTAACACTTGTATAGTATATAAAGTTTCGAGTTCAAAAACAAAATAGAAAAAAAAAAGGAATGATGAAAAATATAACCTGGCATAACTGTTAAAATTCATTTTAATCATGACGGTGTCAGAGAGACTGCGATCATGCTGAGGTCTATCGCGGCTAGCTTATGATGGCGATCTTCGGTCATCGCAGTGGAGCAAGCTTCAGGAACTAAATCGACAACCCTTCGAGTGGAAAAATAAGAGCTTGCTCTGATAACCTTTCCGATGCGTTGAGTGGAAGGCCACATCAGTCACTGCAG